GGGAGGGAAGAAAAGCACGCGTGCCTGCCCAAACCCTCGGAAGCCAAGGGTCCAAGGACCGGGACTCGCGACGACTAATACCCAATCGAAGACGAGCAGTCTGCCTGACTCTTGATGTCGCAAGCCTTGTCCGCCGGTCACCGGTGTAAGTGGCCATCATCCATCTGTTCCTCTGAAGAAGAAGAAAGAGACTGAGATTAGAGCCTCACCTGAGGAATGCGTGCTATTGGCGCCGTGCTCCAACCGTAATAAATGCGGTGTCATGCTGTGCTTGTGCAACTCATCACGTTATTAAGGCGCGGTGCGACATTACTTGAGCTGGCCTCGCTCTCAATGGAACAAGGTAAGGCCCAGGTGAGTCCAAGGTGAGGTATCCGTAGGCTGGCACCAAGTTCCTGGCACCAGAGCTGCCTCCCCTGCAGCTCACAGAAACATGCCGACCGGGGCGCTGCACTAGGCTGGGGCACTTGGGAAACTCTGATGGCCATGTACCACCCTGCGGTGATTGTATGTGACGATACATGTGCCCAGGTCCCGTCCCCGTCACCTCAAGCTCCGCCATCGTTTCTTCTGCTTAGCTCTGGTTCCATTCTCTTTCCTCATCTGGGTTAATTAGCAGGCGATGCCATGGCAGGAACCACCACCATGCCATTTCGAACTGCTTCTCATCTGCCCATCGCCCATCGCCCATCGCCCATCCGTCATGCCCATCGTCGCCAACATCCCTCAACCCAGCCAGCACCCATACCAGAGCCCAGCATCAACGAATTTCCTTTGCCTTCTCTGCTTCTACCGAAAGCAGCTTTGTCTCCATACACTCTGTCCAGGCCTAGGGACCGCATCACGCATGTTGCGCATAGCCACCCGGGGACCCTCGGCCATCACGTCGCCAACAATCTCGCCATGCTTCAAGCTACTTGACCGATTACCAAGTTCCGCTAGCCTCATCATCCATGGCTAGGTGCGCAGTACCCTTTCTCCGTTTCTTCAACCGCCTGCTCCAGCCTCCTCCCGTCCGCCTGGCTGCTGGACTTGGGGCTGGTGCAGAACACAGTAAACGACACCCCTGCTCTCGATGTCCGCCGCCTCATCAAACGGACCTGGCGATGATGCAATGAGCGCCCGTTGGCGTCCGGTCAGGTCAGGCCCAGCGTACCGTATCCAACGACAATACACAAGTACCAGCTACGACGTGCGAGCTCGTTGCCCAGGTCACGTATCCAAGATTCCAGAAGCCAGAGTTTCCGCCTCTTCCTCTACAGGCCGGCCATGCGAACCAGGGCAGAAATCTTCCGCCCCCAGACTCCGTGGACGGGCTTCCCAAACGTCACCGTTATTCAGATGGAATCGACGTGGCTGCCGCCCGCTGCACATCACATAATGAATTATATGTGGCTCCTCTCTGCTAGCCTCCGGCTTTCCGATTCGACGTCCGCCCGACAAACTGCCAAATCGACATGGCAAAAGGCTAAAGTACCCTCCTTGCAGGCTGCCTGACTGTGGGATTCCCACCCGGGCATCTGCTCCAGTGCCAGGCCTGGCTCGCCTCAGAGCTGACGAACCGGCTGGACCCCTGGGAACAATGGATGTGACTGGGTGCCACACACTGGCGGGCGGCCTGCCGCCGAGACACTGGTCCTGGTTCTGCTGCTTGCGCGCGAGGAGCAATGGCGATCTGCTCACTCCAATCACCCTCAGCAACGCGGCTTTGGATCCTAACCAGCCCCAGACAGGCGGGCTTCTTGGGACGAAAAGTCTTTTGCTGGGATCCGTCGACCTGGACGTTTGACCCTACCTACCTCACCACCACCGCATTACAATGTACTTCCCAGCAGGCCAGCAGCAGCGCGTGTACGTAGATGCCGTTGTACCTGACCCGTCGACCTCACTTTTGCTCTACGAACCACGCTAGGCGACAAGCCGGCTAGCGTCCAGGTAGCTTCCATGAGCCTGGCCCAAGGACATCGTCTTCAAGTCTCTCTCTCTCTTGCTTCTTCCCCGGGGACCAGCGCAGGGACCTCCGAATCCCGGCCGATTTTGTTTTTTTCCCTCTCCTCTCTAGTCTCTACCATTCTCTCCGCGCTCCACCGGTCGATATGAGGGAGAAATTGTCCTACATACCGCGTTTCTTCCTCCTCTCAAAGTCGGTCAGAAGAGCGGTGTTGGACCAGCCTCCCCGAGCCTTGCATCATGCAGAGGGATACATGTTTGTGCAGAAAGAGGGATATCGCAGTACCTCTTCTCCATTCAGGCATATCTGACTGCCTGCTGCTGACCGTCGCCCAAAGTCGATACACACCAATACACAGGAGCCCATCTGTGCGAAATAAGGCACGGGATGGATATCGTGGAGCGCCAGATGTGCTCCCATCCTTGCCGTCGACGAAGCTGCCCTAGCGCAATAACGGTTGCGGAGCGCATCGTCATCTCGCTATGCCTTCTGGTAATGACAAGCTGCCGGTAGAGTCTCGGCCGAGCAGCAATTGCTACAGACCTTCAGGCGTTCGGGCTGCGCCATTCTGGACGGACGGTAGCTGCGAAGCATCCGTCGCTTCTGTCCGTCATTGCTGGGTTGGTCCGAGGAGAAAATATACAGGCATATCCCAGTCTTCTTCCTGGCGTTCCGGACTGGCTCAGCAGTCAGAACCTTTTTATCATCTGTGCGGCAAGCATGGCTAGCCTTCCTGGAATACAAGCGTTTTCCCGCGTGACAGGTCCCGGAGAGAGAGACTCATAAAACAAAACAACAGAGAAAGTGAGGAAGCGAGGGGAGGAAAAAAAAAAAAAAAAAAAAGACAAACTTGTCATGGTCAAGGTCCCAGTCAAAGCCAAGCAAGACACGCAGATGCAGACTGCAGACGACGGGGACGCAGAAGCAGACAGTCTGCAGGCAGACAGACACACAGCCAGCAAGACAACCTGTACAGAGGTACGGTCGTGTCAGAAGGGGACTTGTACCGCTACTTGTCTCTGGTCCCGAACGAAGAGCCACCGGTCGACTAAGCCCTGTCAATGTCTGAGCACCCTATGGCGCCGAGAATGGGGCGACCCCCCGGTGTTTTCCTGGGAACATGCACCCCGGCCAGCACACGTCCACCGCAACCCAACAAGCTGCTGCAGCTTCACCAGGTATCCGTATCCATGTCGGCGTTCATCCTCCTCCACCACCACACCCCCATGCACCTTAAGCTCCCCGGCAAGTTGCCAGGGCTCGATAAGAACGCTATGCCGCCATGGGAGAACTACGCTAGGGCTGGACAGAAAAAAAATCAAATAGACCTGGCTCCTCCCGACCTTGTCTAGTCGTCGTCTGTGTCGTTCAATGAACTACGGTTACATTGGAGCAATAGACCTGCGAACTTCCTGACGATTCCCTTCGATCTTACTTTCTTATTCCTACCGATACCGCCGCCGGCCAACCCGTCCTGTCAAGGTTTCGAGTCAACTGTCTCTGGGAAACACAATCCAAGCTTTGCTACTTTAAACACGCAACCCCAACAACCCGACATCAACACCGCCTCTCTTTCTCTTCGAAAGAACGGAGCTTGGGGGCCAGTTCCTCGACACAGCAACATCCACCAGCTCGCTTACAAGACGCCATCACCTCACCCGGCTGTCCACGCTGGTAGGTAGATCCGGCCATAAACAGTGCGTAAGATCCCCTTGGCCATTCATGGTCTGGGATTCGTTCCTAGAGTCATGAGTGGTCCGCTCAGCTGCATCCCACCTTTCACCGCATCTAATCCTGACCCATCAGCACCGCCAGCCCCCGACATACATCTTGGTGGCCACCTCGGGCATCCTTAACTACCCTCCATCAACCTCCTCCGCAGAAGGACTTTCATCAACTCGTCAACGTTCTCTCCATCATCTCCAAGGGACTATCACGACATCTTGATAGCACACGGCTTCGACGCTAGCTACGCTAATCACCCAATCAACCTTCGACAACTCTTGCAGCCACCCATTTTTACTGTCCAAGGTCAAGAGTCTAACATCATCGACGGCCCTCCCAGCCGTTGCCGGAGCCTCCTCATCTTCTCTCCTTCTACGACCGACTTCTAGCAAATTTCCCGGGACTGTTGGCTTCGACCCAGTTAGTCCCACCCCCAGTCGACAAACTGGCGGTCTCAGCAGTTGCCCGGCCTTTTGTACAACATCCTCAACGAAGCCGAGAGGCTAAGGAGAGCGATTACGCACACTCAGATCCGTCAACTGCGCCTCGACAGTCTGGTTTCGACAACGGGCACACATCCGAACACCCAGCCTCCCACCCGAATCAGGATCACTCCTCCGCTTCAAGCACTGGTCAGGGCGGTCAATGTTCGGGCCCTCAAGGCCAGGAGTGCGAAGGGGACCAGGTCTCGATGTCACAGAGGGGACCTGCACCTACATCTCGGCCTCCATCGCAGTCACCCCCTCGCCCTTTCCAACAAAGCTCTCTTCCAGGACAACAAGATGTTGCTAGGGATCCGTTCGCTCCACGCTCGTCGTTGGGCATCAGAGGCTTGATCAACCCCTCCGAGGCACACGCAGAAGGGTACCAGGGGGAGACTTCGCAACCTCGGAGTGCCGAGTCCCAGGGCTCGCCCTACGGCATGCCCCCGAGACACTACAGCACGTCGGATCGACCATACTCGTTTCCTGGTCCCCCGGGATCACAGCCAGTAACCCCAGCCGGGCACCCAGCCACGACACCTCTTGGGTACACTCCCTCGGAGAGCTCGCCAAAGGGCGGCTTCCCCTTTCCGACGATGGGCAGGCAAGTTCTCAGCCCCAGGGAAACACGAGCAGCCAGTGTCGGCCAGGGAAGCATCAAGGGTCACGAGGGCCAACAAACCCCCTTCCTACCCCCTTCAGCGCCGCGAGCGAAACGGCCTTACGAGGAGGAGCCAAGTCGTCCGCCGCCTGGTCTCCCATTCTCCGGCCCGCCATCCCTTGGCCCTCCGCCTTCGACCATGGGACCAATGACGACGCCTCCCCGATCCATGTCCCAACCAATGGTTGGACAGCTACCACATGCTGATAGGCCTCAGCTGCCTCCGATGGCACGAGATCCCAGAGGACCGGAATACCAGGGCCAGCAAGGCATGATGCCTTCCGGGCCCAACTACCCGCCACAAGTCTCTCCCCCCGGCCCCGTGTGGTCAGCCCCTGGGAGCGGAACGGCATTGTACCAGAGCCTGCGGTCAGAATCTGCAAAGGCGGTGATGGAGGGCGGGATAATGTTCAGGATTGGAGGGGACAGCGGGATGGTGGTGCCCGTCGACGTTCACCAGGCATCGAAGCAGGCGGACGAGAAGCGGCAACGCAACGCCGGCGCGTCCGCACGGTTTAGACAACGGAAGAAGGAAAGAGACGCAGAGCAGATCGCCACCATGAACAAGCTGGAGCAGAGGAACCGGGAGTTGGAGTCTCGCCTGCGGGACTTGACTCAAGAAAGAGACTTTTACAGGGATGAGCGGAACCGGTTGCGTGAGGTGGTCTTGCGCACACCACTTAGTGACATGGCGAACGGGCCACCCAGCCCGACGTCTTCACGGAGCGGTGGTTCGATGGCAGAGACCAGCCCAATGGCGCAGGCACCCATCCTCTCTCACCCCCAGCAGGGCTACGCGTCAAGCGAGTCGTCTGTGGAGAGACCGGCACGACGACGAAGGACCGACTCTGCGCCGACGCCCGAGTTCTCGGTCCCATCGTATGGCACGCCGGTCCCCCCACCGGGCAACTTGCCTCCGATGCAGGCTGGGGCATACGGCATGATGCAGCGCCCACCTTCGACGGCCCCCGGCGGCGAGAGACTTCCCCCTCTCCGAGCTATGGAAGGACCCTTCGGAGCTCCCGGGACGGAGCCGGGAATGGTTCAAACCCCCGGCGGTCCGATGTACCCCAGCTACACCCGCGTCCCCCACGAGACGGGGTTCGCCAGCAGACCCCCTGGCCCGCCGCCTCACCATGGACACCATCCGCATGACCAGGGCCAGCGGTGAGAACCAATACGACAGAATACGGCCTTCAATGAGCCAGAGATTATTTGACATTTTCGACACTCGTTTACTTTATACCCACTTCGTTTCGCTGCTTCCCCGTTCGAATCGTATGGCTACAGATTTATAATAGGAGAGGCGGCTTCAAAATGGAACACTTGTTTTGGGGTTCAGGGACTTTTTCACACAAAGACTCGCATAGTTGGGCGACCGACGCGGACGTTTTGTTGGTTGTTACCGGAGTTGGCCGTTTTTGGGAGGAAAGAGAAGGGATATCTCCACCATCAGGATCAGGACAGAAAAAGAAAAACAGAGCAGGACTTGGTCCAGAAGATTATTCATGTGTTCCCGGCATTATGTGTAAAAAAAAAAAAAGGACAAAGCCTTCCAGGGCCGTTCAAGTTGGTGTTTTCAGAGTTGTCTTTCAGGGCGCCCGAGACGAAGCATTGGCTATCTGTTTCTCTTGTATTGCTCTGTGCCGTTGCTGGCGGATACCTATTTGATTGTGGTGGAATCTGTACACTATGTGTTTATCACATCTGTTTGAGCAAAGGAGGACAGAGACCGGCGGGTCGATGGATGCCCTCGGGCGTGGGCTGGCATTACCTGTGCTAGGTTCAAACAGTACTAGACAGCCGCGTGTTAGAAAAAAGCAACAGCAGCTTTATGTTTAACTTGACAAAGTCCCTCAATCCCGGCTTTTGCCTTGCTGGAAACCGATGACGAGGAAGACGATGGCGCAGCCCTCCTTCTGATGGACCCAATGGCGTGGGGGGATCGTGACTTGGCAGCTTGGTTTGAAAAGGCAACAGTGAGGCGAGAGAGGGGTGTTGTTAGTCCACCTCGATCAGGGACCGCAAAAAGAGAGAGAAAGAGACTGGGAAGATGCCCGTGTCGGGGGTTGTTTGTGGTGAAGGCACAGCGCAGCCCGGTGTGTGGGCAAGTCAGCTTATGCCACAATGCAAGTCATCCATCCATCATCGGAGGCGCTGGGCTGGCTGATCGACCGGTCTGTCGGTCGCGCCCCCCTCTGAGGTGAGGTACTCTACCGTGCACACCCCCTTCCCTTCAGCCAGATAAGGCAAACCCCAAGCATCCGAAAGTGTTCCTAGCGTTTACCCTAGGGCAGCTGACAGGGCGGAGGAGGTGGGATCGCAACTGCCTTTTGCATGTTTCCTTGAGGTTTCTGACAGAGTTGCGAGGAGTTGTTGTCGTTGTATGTTGTAGACATGGAGAAGCCGAAAGGTGAGTTGAGTGAGTGGCATGGACAATATTCGTGATTCTGATCTTCCAAAGGGGGTGTGTGTGTGTGTGGTGCGGGATATAACAGAGCCAAACGACGCCAAGCCGAACCGGTCAGTCAGTTCACCTTTTTTTTCTGTGATTATTCTTTCTTATTTCTGCAATGCGTCTGTTATTGGGGCTTGCGGATGGATACATTGCTCGTCCAGCGGCCTGAGCGGCTTGACTCGGCTCGTTGCAGTTGGATGTTCCTTTCTGGCTTCCATTACTTTTTTGGCTGAAATGCGCGGCGTAGCGGGCAGATGATGGCTTGGGTCGTCGAATGCCCAATCAGGAAATGACCTCGCCGAGCTAAAGGTACGTACCGATTTGCTGGTGTGGTGGTGGTGGTGGTAAGAGGCACAGGTAGTTTACCCGTCAGTCCTTTTTTTGATTTGGGTTATTTGTTCCACCGGATTCAGGGTCTCTCGGATGCATCGAGGCATGTAAGTGCATGTCAGTGGTGCTGGTAGGTTGGTGTGTTGACAGATATCTTCGATGTCAGAAGGGAGTGTCCCTGTGGAGAGAAGCGGCAAAGATTGGGGAACAGGAACAGGCACAGGAACAGGAACGGGGGCCATGGGAGGAGACGAGAGACGGGAAACGGGGACGCGGGAAACGGCAAACGGGGGGCGGACGGCGGGGCCACACAGCGCGGCACTCGGGCGGCCCCCACATTCCAGATGGCTTGGGTATCCGTCGGCTGGCGGTAGTGTTGGCGGTTGACTTTCAACCTCCAGGTCCGTCCGAGCCAACCATCGCTGCTGCCCAGCGTCAACGGTGTGTGTGTGGGTGTGCCATCATCCACCGGAAGACATCCACATGTGCCGCCGTTGTGAGAGTGTGATGTCCGCCGAGGCGCGGGGACGCGAAGGCATCCAGAGGAGAGAGAGACAGAGGGGTGCGTGGCATTAGACCGAGCAATTAAGCAGCTGCGGTGCAGTTCTGATATGCATACGCACAACATTGGGCTCCGTATCGAGAACAACAGGGGATCAGTGTGTCTGGCTAACTCGGGAGGCAGCCCTCGAGATCTTCGTCAAGTGTGTGGGTTAGTTTTCTGCTTCTTTCTGCCTCTCGTTGTCGAAATCGGGAGGCAAGTCAACTCCCGAGCGACGACACAACCTAAAACGGTGCGGCTGTACGCTGTATGTACGGCACCGCATTACATGCTGCACCTCATACTTTGACGCACGCATCCTCGTTGGACTAGCGGGTGAACAGACAGAAAGGCAGAGCGGGAGAGCTTCCCGACAGGGGGCGCGGGCGGTCCGCCTCCGAGCCCCAACGACCCCCCTTGCGTCCCCGGCGACGTTGACATTTTCATCTTGTCTGGAGGGGAACTTGTCCGTGTTTTTTCGTCGTTTTTATGCCCGGGCCCCGCCTCTAGTCTGATTTGAGTAGCTCCAAGTGCCTCCCAGACTTCCTTCTTCCTCAAACGCCATTCGCGCGCAAGAACACACGCTTCTGGAAGCTTTTTCTGCCCATCGTCATGTCAGTGTCCACGGACTGACTGGTGTTGCACCATCTTTGGTTCGCGCTTCGACGGGGAGAAGACAGGCAGAGTCCGGTCAGGGGGGAGGGGAGGGGGTGTCCAGCGAAAGCGAAAGAGGTTCGAGGTTCGACGAACCAGGCGCCTCGTTTGACAGAAAAGGAGGCTTGCTGGCACTTGAGTGCTGATTTGCAATTAATTGAGTTTCCAGAGTCGGATGTTATATGCTATTGTTAGCGCGCGTGCCTGTCGGTTGACTTTCTTGGCCCTTGTCAGTGAGAGAAGGAGAGAGAAGACCAGGACGGCATTGCGAAAAAGATTTGATATGATAATCGGCTGTTGGCGCCGAGTGAGTAGTCATTTTTGGTTGAATGCGATTGGAAAACGTTGATTTGGGGGAGTGTAGAAGATTAGACAAGGCTGAAATGAGCGAAACCGACGGACAAGTGACGAGACGGCGCACGCGAGAAAGCGAGGCAGACTCGGTTTCTTTTCTGGCGGGGATGTTGTGTGTTTGGAGGTTTGACAGCTTTGGAGAAGGTTAAAAAAAAAAAAAGGTAAGAGAATTGGAAAACATCAGGTCCACTGACGATAAGGCATTTCAAGCCTCAGGGCTTGGCGTTCCGGCACTTGACGACAGCGAAGTGTTGCAGTGGAATCCTGTCTTCGGGCCGTCCTCGTCGTGGCAGATGATTTGCGCGCCAAACGATTAAGCATGGTCCATCGGCTCGGGGAGCTAAAGCGACGGTGGAGAGAGGGAGAGAATCTTCATGTTTAGACATTCTCTGCCTTGGCCTCGGCTTGGCTTGGCTTACATGAATGGCCTACCTTGCCTTGCCTTACCTTGGCCACCTGGTGTGCTTGCTTTCCTGTCTTGCATGCCTCGTTGTCGTTGTTTGCCCTTTCTGCAGCTGCGGCTCGGACGAGAAGGAGGGAGAACAAGATCACGGGCCCGGTCGCGTTCGCTATTCCTCGTCGAGGGGTCCCCCTTTGCCATGTGTGTGTGTGTGTGTGTTTGTTCTGTGTGTTCACAGGATGGAGACAGACAGGAGGCGGGAGGTAGAGGTACATCGTCCAGAGTGAAGCACGTCCCTCTGCTTGTACCTGTTCCGAACTGTCCTGTTCGGGGGGTCGCCTGCCTGTCTCTTCTGTCTGTTTCTTGCTTTTTTGGGCAGCCTGAACAACGGAAAACACACGCCCTCCTTGCTTCTCCGACGCCCCCTTCGATTAGCCTTGCGTTTTCCATCTCTTTTTTTTTTTTTTTTTTTTCTGTTTCTCTGACCCGCCGGGAGCACACATCGCTGCAGCATCTCGGCACTGCACACTGACAAGCTGTTCACCGAACCCAAACCCGACCAACGAGATTCCCGGAGCCGCGGCGAGTGGAGACCCATCACTTAAAGAAAAAGAGGGGCTGATATCAGGTACGATCGGCCTCGGGAATCTGGGCGGCCCCCTTTTCTTTTGGGCGAGTGGCAGCACCACCAGATTTCCCCGCATGCAGCCTACCAATCTCGAGCCTCGAGCTGCATGCTGCACCATCATACCTCACAGAGACGACAATAATAACACAACAAAAAAAGTCGGCAGCCACGGGATGACCTCACCGGCTTGAGTATCCCGCCGCCTCGCTGTGCCTTACCGCCCCCCTTGCAAGGCTGCCTCCCCCTCTCGTTCTCGCGACGCAAACCATGTCCGCGATCACGCGCCCCGTGGTTTCCGGCTTGGCCCGTCGTCTGGCCCTGTCCAGGACTGCTGGCTTTTCCGGGGTATCCCACGCACCGTGCCGTCGGCGTCGGCCGCTTGGAGCGGCACCATGGCCGTGTACCCAGCGACCCCTCCCAGCCTCGTTCTCGACGTCGCGGACGAGCACACCGTCGGCGGCGGACATTTCGGCTCCGAACGGGCGGTCCTGGAGTCAACCTACAGGCCTTTTCATCGGGAATGAGTTCGTCGAGAGTGCCGGCGGGAGCCTGCTGAGCACCGTCAATCCTTGGTGAGTCGTGCGAGACTGAGACCACCCGCGTGTCCGAGGTTTCCGTGCTGATCATGCCGGCGCAGCAACGAGGAAGAGATCTGCAAGGTGTACGCTGCCTCGGCCGAGGATGTCGACAAGGCTGTCTCAGCGGCGAGGGCTGCTTTCGTTCATCCCTCGTGGAAACGCATTTCGGGGACGGAGCGCGGCTACATGATGATGAAGCTCGCCGACTTGGTTGATGCGAACCTGGAGACCCTGGCCACCATCGAGACGCTCGACAACGGGAAGCCGTACTCTGTCTGTCGCGATGTCGATGTCCCGCACTTTTCCGAGGTGCTGAGATACTACGCAGGCTGGGCCGACAAGCTCCACGGCCAGACGATGGACGTCGGCCCGGATAAGCTGGCTTACACCATCAAGGAGCCGTTGGGGGTCTGCGGGCAGATTATCCCCTGGAACTACCCCCTCGACATGGCGGCCTGGAAGCTGGGCCCTGCGCTCGCTTGCGGGAACACGGTCGTGCTGAAGCTGGCGGAGCAGACGCCCTTGTCGATGCTGTATGTCGCGCAGCTGGTCCGAGAGGCGGGGTTCCCGCCAGGAGTGGTCAACATCATTAACGGGTACGGGCGTGACGCTGGAGCTGCGCTAACTGGCCATCCCGGCGTTGACAAGGTCGCTTTCACAGGAAGTACTGCTACAGGCAGAGAGATTATGAAGCTTGCTGCTGGCGGCTTGAAGAACGTCACCCTTGAGACGGGCGGCAAGTCCCCGTTACTCGTCTTTGAGGATGCTGACCTCGACCAAGCCGCTCGCTGGTCCCACGAGGGGATCATGAGCAATCAGGGGCAAGTCTGCACCGCCACATCACGCATTCTCGTGCACGAAGCCATCTACGAGGCGTTCATCGATAAGTTTACGTCAACTGTGCGTAACATCTCTGTTGTCGGGGATCCCTTTGATGAAGCTACTTTCCAGGGCCCGCAGATTACAAGGGCGCAGTACGAGAGAATACTGGGATACGTCCAGGCGGCGAGAGACGAAGGCGCCACGGTCGCCATGGGAGGAAAGCCAGCGCCGCAGGCATCGGGCAAGGGGTTCTTCGTCCAGCCGACGGTCTTCACCGACGTCAAGACCTCGATGACGGTCTATCAGGAGGAGATCTTTGGACCGTGTGCCGCGGTAGTCAAGTTCGGCAGCGAGGAGGAGGCGTTGAAGATGGCAAACGATACGACATACGGACTTGGCGCGGCGGTCTTCACGAAGGATCTGGCGCGGGCGCACCGTATCGCGCGGGACGTCGAGGCGGGCATGGTGTGGATCAACAGCAGCAACGACTCGGACTTCCGCGTGCCCTTTGGGGGCGTGAAGCAGAGCGGCATCGGGCGCGAGCTTGGGGAGGCCGGGCTGGCGGGGTACTGCAATGTGAAGGCTGTGCATGTAAACCTGACGGGGAGGTGATGTGAGAAGCGCCGCCCATCAGAGGAATTGGTGGGTTGGTGTTGTCGGACGATGACGAGAATGTTGCGAGTGTCTGTGCGTTTCCGAGCGCGACAGGTTGATGTGACTGAGAGGACCAGCAATAGGGACGATGATGTACATGACGGCCATTATGCGATAGGGAACCTGTGACATGAACAGTGATGGGAAAGACGAGGTCACGAACTTACGATGGGAATCTGACTTGATGTTACGCCCTGCTACGGTGGAGAACGGAGACGGAAAATGGCAAAGTTACAAGAACGTTGGCTGATTCGCACTCAACATGGGATTTCTTCGTTTCTTTCGCACTTTCGGGCTTTTCTGCATGGCCAGTTCGGGATCGTCCGATTTGGCTGACAATTTCCCAATCTTCTCCTCTGCCTTCTCGTCTGACCTCGAGGCCCCGCCACATTGACAGCATAGCGGGACGTGAGAAAAGACAAAAACGCTTGGGACGATGAACTCAGGACGGGTTGGTGGGGAGGGGGAGATGCGAACCAACCAAGGAGCCAATTATCGTCTTGGTATCCCGAGCACAGGGGGGCAGTGCAATCAAATCACGTATTTCGGAATCAGCGTTTGCTGGCTTTGCTCTTTTGTTATTCTGTCGAGTTGTCATCGATTTTCAGAGGGGGAACTGGCAGAAATGTTTAGTGATTGTGCGAAGCATGGGGAGACACTCGACGACCGGTTCGCTTCGGTTCCCCTTTCCAAACTTACAGACACACAGTCCGGGGATGTGTGGCTACCTATATGAGGCTGAAGTCGGCCTATATTTGCCCGATGGAGCAGGTAAGTTGCAGATTCACCGGATTTCTGCCACTGTGTTCGTACTGGGGGCTCTGATCGGGTCGTGTCGAGCTTGTTTGTTCGATATCGTGCCATCGTGGCGACAGATCCGTCGGCTCGGGCTACCCCGCCCTCCTTTGGCAGTCAGCGATACATGTTTCCCATTATTCCCGCGCCGGATTCTGCCCGTGGGGGAAAAAAGGCAGAAATCCGGGGGAGGCTTCACAACTGCCGATGGTGAGGCTTTGCGGGGGAGAGAAGAATTCGCCGTGACTTTCGTAAGATCAGCCGTGGGCCAGGGAGGGTCTGGTGTGTTGTCTGAGAAGAGGAAGTTTGCTTGACGGGAGGCTGATACGGGGAGGGATCGTGAATCATGAACAGGGCTGGGTAAGCTCTACACTACAATTCGCGCGATTCTGTTCTGTGATATAGCCTCTGAGCCCGGACCAGTGGCCTGACGGCAGTTGAGAGAGGTGTAGTAGCACCGAGTCTGGCATGTCGGCTCCGATCGCTTTCCGATTACTTGTTTAGAAGGCTGATGTCTGGAGATGACGACTCAGGTTCAACACGGTCTCTTCAAGGGCAGCATTTTTATGACTCGGAAACCTCCTTTCGGGAACAGTCTCTACGACAGATGAGTTTCGGAGCATGACTGTACTTTGCGATGGTCCTTCTAGGACTAGTAGACCCAGGAACGAGTATCTAGCAGCACGTCCCTCAATCTCAGCTGCAAAGACGTAACCAAGAGCACGGAACCCCTGATTACCTTCACGACCAGGAGCCCCTATTATCTTTGCCTACAGCAGCTTCTAAGATCCAGTGGCCGACTTTCCAGGAACACAGAGAGTCTGATAATGTATCAATATCTGAGGCTCTTATTACACGACGATCTCACGCGGCCGACGTCGCAAAGCCGTTTGCTGTCGAGATCCAGCCCTGACCCATGTCGCAGGGCTCCGATACTTTGGGCAGCTGCCAGGCCGAGCCGACGCGGCTCCGATGTTCCCAACGTCTGTCCCGGTACCGTGAATAACGGCGGCATGGCCGTCTTGCTTACCGGCGGAGGAACGGTTCGTTGTCTGATACAATTTTGCTGTTAGAAGACCGTGATGAGAAGAGCTGCCTATTTGTAGTAGTTTTCGATCACCCGGACAGGGCTAAATACGCATATAAATCTATAAACTTGCTCCTGTACAGTTTTGTAGTATCACGCAGTACTTGTTGAGTCCATCTTGATCAACATGAAGCTTATGCTGAGGGAGCTCTCCATCGGTCAAATCAGAAGGAATTCAAGTCAACAGCAGCTGGCCTCTTGGCTTTGTCCACATAACTGCCAACACCCTGAGGTGTCTGCTAGCTCTCACTGGAAGCTATAAAGAATGACCAGGGCGTCCTTCCCGGATCCACTCCCTTGCTTCATGTTGGTGCAGCAGGTCATGAAATAATTTTGCTGCGTCGTCAAACTGAGCTTTTCCCTTTCCCCATCGTGTGGTGCCATGATTTCATCAGTGATTGCGGATATCGACACCAAGCTGATAATAACCGTGGCAGATGAGCAACTGGCGAAATGTCCAAGACTGCGAGACGAGCAGACAATTGCCGCAGAGATCATCGATGAAATTGACAGCACCAGGGATGACGTCGCCGAGAGACTCGAACCCGTATTGCTAGTGTCAGGGACCTTCCGGATAACGATCGGTGAGAGGGAATACTCGAACACCAAGGCCGAAGCCATTGAACCAACCGCCAAGAATATCGACGAAATCGCCGTACTGGATACCGTGACAATCGCCTGGGACAACGTATCGACATCGGAGTCCAACAGCAAGATCGACAAGAAGGTCGACAAACTCACAACGAAGCTGGACGGACAGACCATCACGAAGATGAGCGAGAAGGTCGACAGAGCTGAGCATTGCAAAGTCGACGCAGACGAGAACGGGAGAGTTGAAGCCATTGCGAAGACCAAGAAATTCGAAGAAAGCTCCACAATGGGTAAGTTTAACTCCTTTCAGAAGTTTTAGAGACAGTCGCCGAAGATCTTAGACAAGTTCAAGAAACGTTCCTTGAGTACGCATAATCAGGGTAAGTCTACTGTTTCAATATAGCCCTCAAATGCGAAGCAGGCCAGGAAGCTGGAGGCACCAAGGATAGGGAATGTCAAGTTCATAAAGGCTCGAAAGATCAACAATGTCTTCCATTACTAGGTATTCTGGTTACACAACAGCAGGAAGCTCCTGACCTTTTATCAGCCATAATAGGTAGCTCGATTGGATGGATGCATGACACGGAGGGGTCAATAGCGGTCAAATGATACAAATGGAAAGGTGTACAGTCGTAGACCAAATCCGAATACCTCATCTGGTCATCAACGAACTACGCAAGTGAAAGTGTACGTGAAATGCGATATGCTGTCGTTTCTACCCACCATGAACCGTGTCAGAAGCAGGCGACCAAGTGTGTAAACCAAAGTCATGATTATCTCGCACTCAGACCTTGCTCCTTGATTTCCACGCCCACCCCTTCTGTCCTCAGAGCAAAGTTTTCCCAGTCGGTCATGACTAGGCGCGGAACTTGACAAAAGAAAAAGGGGGACCACCCAGCGCCTGGGTATAGAAGCGGCAGTTCGTGGGCCCAGTAAATAGCCCGCCTCATCTGTCTCTGTTTACTATCTATCTTGTCTGCTCGATGTTGGATGTTTACCATCCACCGATTGAGGACGACGAGGACGACGAGGACGACGACGACATCGACAAGGATAAGGGCGACGATAGAGAAGATAGAAAATATCCCAATAGTAGCGTAACCTCTAAGAAAAACATTCGCTCTCACTAACACAGGAAAGGCAGGCAACCTCCTGGCAACGTGGGAAAGTGTGGGCCGTGGACTTGAGATTCTAAGGTGAGGCCCCTTTGCCAGGAAGGCGCCTCCCACTTCGAGCGGGAGTGCCTTCCCATTCCTGCCTACTACTGCGTCAGAATCTACCATCTCCCACGAAAAATATTCGCTTTTTTCCGTTCCCCCTTTGGCCCGCACACCGGCGCAATCTTTCTCACGCACAACCCTCCAAATCAATCTAAGATGGATCTAACTTCATCACACCAAAAGCGCCCATCAAGCCACGATGGCGACCTTACAAATGCCAAAAAGTCTCGCAAAGCGAAAGCTAAGGCAGACGAAGAGGACGTAGAACACGTCTGCAAGGGCAAGGACAAGTCCGCATGGGTGGATTACGATTACACCGTATTCCATACCACCGGGACCCTCAACGCACAAGCCGTCCGCAAGCTGCCGAAACCAGACCTCGAGGTGCTGTTGCTGCGGACTTTACCAGAGACGGAGTACGACCAAGACTGGTCGACAGACGATGAAACTGCGCTCCAAAGCAGCTGGCAGGCAGACCCGTATCGGTTAGATCTCATCGGGTACAAGGATGCCGACATTGGCAAGGCATTCCGACAGTCACTCAGATTCTTCGGTATCACGCCGTTCGAGCTCATATCCGAAAGATACGACCTCGTATACGGCGGAAACATTGGCAAGATCCGGGACAAATGGGCTCCGAAATTCAGCTTGACCCTGTACCATCTCATCCCGCACCCTCTGTGGGGGAGAGATCCCAGACTCCTCGCCATCGCGCTGCAATACACTTCAATACTGAGGAACCGCGATCTGCGCTCATGGAAGCTTGTTCGGCCAAACGAGAACCCATTCTTCAAGATCTTTGAGGAGGTCATTAAGGAAACCAAGGGCCAGAATCTGCCTATTTACAACCTGCATAAACAGGTGCGAAAGCGGCTCAAGCAGCAGCGCACGCCATCAATCTTTTCGCTCTTTCTGACGGCCCTGGAGGAAGTTGTCGAAGTCGAGGCCCGCGTGGACACTACCGATAAGAATGGCCCCGTCAACGTTTACACCATTTCTCGGTATGATCTGGAGTCCGTCCAAAAAGCATTGGATGGAACGGCGTACATGGGGATACCCTCCTTCCTGCCAACAGAGCTCATCAAGGAGCACATGTACAACTCTTCTACAGACAACCCGCCTCTGGGCCCATCAGCGCTCACCACGTACATTGAGCGAGCCCTCATCGCCGTTCGCCGCCACAAGGCAAAGACCAAGAATCGCAACAAGCGTTTGGGCGACCAGCAGCAGACCGAACAAGAGCAGCCCGATGCGACAGGTGGGCCCAACGTCAACTTAGAGGAGGTAGAAAACACTCTACATCAAAGAGACGAACAAATCGCCACGCTTCAACAGCAGCTGACTGAGAACGAGGAGTTTTCCCAACAGCAGCTGAGTGAAAAGGACGAACTTTTGGCTCAAAAGGATGAGCTTTTGGCTCGAAAGAACGAGGTATTGGTTCAAAAGACGAGCTTTTGGCTGAGCAGACCAGCTCGATAGCGGAACTCAAAGAGTTGCTCCGCCATAAGGATGAGGAAATGTCTCGACGGACACGAGAATTAGCGGAGTTGGGACGTTTGTGGGACACTCGTTCCTGAGTACGAGGCCGGGCCCTTGATATTGGATCACCTGCATATAAACGGCCCGAATATATCAGAGAATCCGCTAAATAACGACAACAGGGCTTCAGAGCCACTTGCGCCCATGCCAACTGCCGCAGAGCATGCGGCCTTTGGATTCAGTCAGATTTGGCACCTAGCGCCGGGACGGCTGTCATACTAGAAAGACGTCCCGACAACGGCATAGCGAAAGCACGCTTGATGTGGCGTATTGAAGGCAGAATGGCACACAATGCTAGTGGCATGCTAAGGAGATATTCCCACAACGGGATCGCGAAAGCACGCTTGGTGGCGTATTCAATGAAGGACGGCACAAACTGCCAGTGGAGGATAGGTGGGCAGGTAGCTAATCAAAGTAAAACTTGACCCAACAGCGACCCGGCTTCCATCCGTGACTTGACTGCCATCCGTGGCCTGTTTACCGACCATAGATACTTGGCGAGCTGCCGCTCTGCCGCACGCCGCCGAACAAAATTACGAAGAGAAGTTCTAGTGGGTATGTGGGCTCTATCCATTATGAGTAGAAGACAAAATCTTCCAAGTATTGCTGTCACGCTTTAGCTGGGTAGGTAGAGAAGATGCAAGACGGGGCGGGCACGACGGGCGGGCATAGGACGGAGATGCTGGGAAAAAATAGGTGGCAGACGACGAGAAATCAGCTGCGAATCGCGCCTCAAGCCACGCTTTAGTTGATTTGAGCTGCGTCTCTAGGACCTATAAACTTTCTAGTGAGTGGCAGATCACACTGTAGAGCCCGGCTGCTGAGGTGCCTACTCAGAGCTGGAAATTTCGTAGTAAATAGCGACTTAGGAACTTAAGTGAATCTAGACATTCTACTCAGGTCAACTACTCTTGTATTTGAGCCCGCCTTTGCTGCATAATTCTCTTCATCTGAGTTAGTCTCTCAGATCCACTACTTTATTATATAACATCGTGCGCACTGCAAAATCTAATGGATCTGATTAAGCCAACAATCACTGAATGACGTTTCCTTTCCGCTCAAGTCGTGGTGACACTCTGTATAATAAAGATAGTACCAGACCTGCATAGGATACTCGCGAAGCGTGCTGGTCATGCTCTAAGGTCCAGAGCCGAAGGATCGGGTTCTTGAACCTGACCGCCATCACTCCTCAATTGCTTCGATGCGAGACTGTTGTCCACGCTCAATTGCCGACGGGATGAAGCGCTCGCTGCGTACGGATTGATGTCGCTGGTCTCGCTCTTGATACGACGGCTCGTACGCACCCAGCCCCTCCACGCGCCCACTGACAAAATACAAATACAGGACCAAGATATGCCACTCACGGTTTCTCATCGATCAAGCAGACACTTGCGAGCACACTAATGGCCAGCGGTGTGAAGACACGATTCTTGATACAGCTTCATCCAAACTACTACGACCAACGACTTCTCGCTGTTCTATATCATCGACGTCGTCCGCCTCCCCCCAAGAATCCCCAACTCGCACTCCCGCGCCGTGATCCCGGTCCATCCATCCCGCCGCCCCACCGCCGATCGCCGCGCCGTACCCCATCCCCCACGGCGCCGTGACCGTAACACGCACACGACAACACACAAACCAACCCCTCCATCCATTCCCCGCCCGTTCGGTCTAGACCCGAACCTTCATCTTTTTCCAATCCTCACCCCGCACCCGCCGTCCCATCCCGTAGTGTAGCGGCCGTCAACCAGCACACCATCTCCAACAAAGCATAGTTCACCCCTTACGTCCAGAGACTTCTCCACGACAGCAGAGGGGAAAAAAAAAGCTTAGCCTATCTTCTCCTCACGCCCTGGAGCTGCAATGCAACACCACAAGAACATCAGACGAACAAGTTCCCTCTTTTGTGTGGCCAGAAAGACCAGCGTCAATTACCGCCGTACTCCCGTCCTCTTTTTTCCCTCCGGAGAAAGAATGTGAGGTTACCTAATGTTCCTATGCTCCGTGTAACGCCGGCCCTTCATGCTGTAGCGTGACAAGGGTATTTCTACTCTTCGCGCGTCTTTGCCACAAGACGCCGAGACTAATTAATCAGACAAATGACCTCCACCCCATCCTCCCTGGACATAAGATTCGAGATTAGATCCGACAGCATGTGTAGATCAGCCACCCCAAAAACGTATCTCGCGACATTGTCCAACTCGTTTGCTGTGACGTGATGCTGGATATCAAACCCCAGTCGTAAATCTCCCAAATGCAGCCAAAAAGAAGACAGGTAATAGACACGTCATGACGAGGCAGACACGGACGACGAGGCCCTCGCCAGACTGAGCAGACTGCTCACGGCCCCTCCGCAGACAGGGCTTGCTGAATCCTCGGCCGTCGAAGTCTCCTCGGGGACGGTTTGTAGCGTAGCCTTCTCAGGCTTGGTCACCACGACCTCCTCCTCTTGCGTCTCCTCCTCCCTGCGGTCGTCCGCCTCGATGGTGGCCTCGCTCTCAGGGGGTCCGTCGCGGCTCGAGGGCGGCTGTACCGTGACCCTCGGCAACGCCCTCTTCTCCTGCCCGGGCAGCGGCTTGACCTGCAGCCTGTCGAGGGGCACGTCTTCCTGCCCCGTCTGGAGCTTGTAGTTGGCGAGGCCGAGCTTCAGCCTCAAGATGCGAGCTTTCTGTAGCAGACGCCAGTCAGTATTCCGTTCCTTGTCCCCCGTACTGTCTCGCCGTACCTGTCGCGCCTCCTCGCGCGTCAACAACCTCCTCGGCCTCGGCGGCGGCAGCGTCGTCGTCGTCGTCGTCGTCGTGGCCGCGTGCTCCTGGTCCGGCTCGGTGAGGATGGTGGTGTTCTGGGACGTGTCCATGGCGGAGTTATCGAACACGGACGACGTGGCGGGGGACGCGGACCTGCGAGGCGTCTGCTGCCGTTGCGTCTGCTCGTCGTCCGCGGCGGTGGTGATGGCGTCCTTCTTCTCGGGCTTGAGATGGAGGGGTTCTTCTTGCGTCGTTTGCTGCGGTACCTCACACGCATTAGCTTCGCTCCCCTCGGGTGATGTATGCAGGTCCCTCACCTCCTTCGCGTCGGGCATGTCCTCCTCGGTCTGTGCGGGTGCAGGAGGCGGCGTGGACGTTGCTGCGGGTGCGGGAGAAGCTGCTGCAGCAGACACACGCTCCGCCTTGAGTGACAGTGCGGGTGCGGGTACGGGCGAGGGTGCGGCGACCTTGACGGGCTCCTGGCACTGCTTCTTCTTGGGGACGACGCTGTTCTCGTCGAAGATGACGGTGTCGAGGGACCTCTTCAGGCCCAGGGGAGACTTGATTGGGCTCTTGAGAGGCGAGCCAAGCATCGTGGTCTTGTTGTGCAGCTGGCGTTTGGGCGACATCGCGTTGACGTTCGCGTCCAGGGGCGCGAGGGCGCGTCTCTTGGCTGGTGATGAGGGGTTCATGGTGTCTGTGGTTTACGGGAACCGCTGCTGTGGTGGAGGGGACGAGAAGGAAAGAAGCCTCGCAATGAAGATTGAGGTGAGGGAGGGTAAGGGAGGAGGAGGATTGGTAGAAGTGAGGTTGAGGGCAGAGTGCTGCAGCTGCAAGAACAAGGTCAATTCAGGATTCCGGAGTGCAACCTGAGCGACTTTCGGGGCAAAAGGTACGGTTTCGTGGCTGGGCTGGCCCGTAGCGGACCGAACGAATGATCGACGACTTGTGCCCGCGTGCAACTGTAGCAACTGGACGGCCGTTTTGGAATCCACAGAGCTGTCCAAACAAACAAATAGAACACAAGTGCGTCGGTCAACGTTGTTGAGATGCTCTGGCCCGTGTCTTGAGAGTCTAGGGAGACAGAAAAAGGAGGACAACTGCTCGAGGAGGATTCTCGACACAGAGCAAGGGAAAATGGGAAAATGCCCCAAGAGATATTAAAGAGGGAGGGAGCGTGTTGTTGACAGGATTCGGACAAGCGAATGCAGGCGAACGCGTACCCGGGAGATATGCAGCGTCGCCTGCTCTGCTCGTGTGAGGTCGGGTCGCTCCAACGGCGGCCTGGTCTGCTAAGTCGCGACCAGTCTTTAGCGGACGAACGCCGCTGTAAAAGCACGTTACCTGCTGAAATACAGCACCTCACACTGAGGTGGCAGCATTCGCGGTTCGTCTTGTCCCCCACCAACATCCATCGCGGGCCGGGGACGGTTGGTGTAACTTGGTGCCCCCTCCGTTCCCCCTGTCTCGGTGGCTGGCGGCGGGCGCGTACCCCTGCCGCCAGTCCGCTGTGGTGCCGCTGTACGGCCCCTGCCTCAGCACGCTACAGCGCCTGCTCCAGGGCATGATGCGCATCACAGAGCGCCCACGGTCCAGAACGCGGCTTACATAACCCTGCATGTCCCCAGAGGCGCGTCTGTCGTTGCAGGGGTTCACTAGCCACCTGTGAGCGGATGCGGCCTAGCGCTGAAGAAAGTGAAATGCAGGTACGGGGTCAGGGTCCACGCTGCTGGGATCGACGTGACAGCTCCCCCCATCCCTTCATGGATCGCCCAACGCCGTAAATTGCCCACCAACACGCGTCTTATTAACACTGAACCACCGCCAGAGACCGTGTACCATGTCGTCACTGCTCATTAAACTTCCAACAGCTGCAGCACATACTCCGTACATCACAAAAATGCTAGGGACGTTTCCGTTTTTTGAATCTCGGGTATCATTCCTCTCGCCCTTGCAAGAGTCGCGCCTTTTGTCGGCGCCAAAGAAAACAACTGAGACTTCCGCCCTTCGCAGATCGATAGGTACAAACGCGTAATCGTCTCTCAAACCTCGAGCCAAACGGCTTCCAATAATACTGAAAAGGAACGAGTATGGTCAAAAAAACACAATGCAAAGCACTCCACCCCCTCGTCCGAGGGTTGTGTATCCATATAAAATCATCGCTCGCAAAGAGACCGACCCAGAGGCAGCGGCCACTGCCCACCAAAGGAACGCCGAAGCCTTGCTTTTCCTGATGCTAACCCTTCCCACCCGTCCGAAGAACCGGCTGGTCATCATTCGTTGGAATCTCCTCCGGGGTATTCAAAACATCTCACACTCTCCCTGTTCCTGTCCTGTCTTTTTTTGATTTCCTTCTTTCCCTCCTCTCTCCTCATGACGATCCGGAAACGTCCAAGGAATACAAGCTGTTGTCGAATTGGAACGGCTTGTTGAAATCGGGGTTGACCTCGTCCCAGTTGGGGAACTGCTCCACCGGCATCGCCTCCTCGAGCATCAACGCATCGAACTCGCCGCTGCCGTTGGGAAAGCTGTCGAGACCGCCATCCATGTTAATGTTGTTCATGTCCAGGAGCAGGTCAACGTCAACAGGCTGCCAGTTGAGGTCGATATCCAGATTGGCGTTCTCCGAAATGTCGCTGTTGGGCTCCGACGATCCGCTGTCCTTGCTCGACTCGGGCGTGTCGTTCGGCGTAAGCGACCGGTACACACCCATATCGCTGATGACGCCGCCGGCACCCATCTCGAAATTGCCGAGGTTGGTGAACAGGCTCGCAGGGTCGATGGTGTTGGCCCAGGCATCCATGGGCGCGGGCGGGGCGCCGCCCATCTCGGGCTGCTTGTTCTCCAGCTTCGGCGTGCCGTCCATCTTGATGACAGGCTTCGTGTCCTGCTTGCCGCCCACCTTGCTGCCGGTACGTTGCATGGAAGCGTCGCGGGACATGGGCGTGGCTGCCGGGTTGCTTCCCGGAGTCTGACCCTGCTTGGACGGGTTCTGTCCCATGAGCTGCGCCTGAGGCTCCGTCTTGACCTGGCCGTTGACATCGAGGCCCAGCGAAAGGGCCAGATTCTCTTGCATGAACTTCATCGGGTCCTCCAGGGGCTTGACGTGCTCCTCCTGGATATGGGCCTGTCGTGCCTGCTCCGACGGGAGACCGGTCGTGGCCATCTCGCAGTCCGCCTCCGGGCACAAGAACATGGGCTTGGGCGGCGCCTTGGGCTCCGGCGCCGGCTGTCGCTTGAGCTCTGGTGAGCCGGACTTGCTGATCTGTGGCGACGGCGTTGCTTGGCTCGGCTGCGGTGGCGTGTCGGTCTTGGTCTTCTTCCTCGGCGGCAGTGTGAGGTTGTCCCTGCTGACCTTGGGCTTTGGCTGTGCGTAGGTAGGTTGCCCGTGGGGAGACGTCGCGCCGAACGAGAACGGGGGCTGGCTCGTGGTCGGTGCCGCCGGTGGCCCGCCGCTTTTGCTGTTGGATCGACTGTGCATCTTGTTCAGCGCCTGCGTCTGCTTCTCCAGGTTCGCGGCACTCAACGGAGCAGGCTGTCCACCCTGTGTGGGTGTAGCGTTTGCCTGGTTTGGTGCAGCCTGTCCGCCTTGCTGTTGAGGCGGCGCGGCACCCTTCTTCTGGAAGTTGGCGCAGTCTCGCGCCATCGTCTCAAGTAGGCGCCTGACCTCGTTGATCTCGGCGGGCCGGATGCTGAACACCGCCTTGGGGTTCAACATGGTTTCTCCGTCCTCGAACTGCTTAATCATACGAATGCGCTGTCGTGTGTCAGTGATTGATTCGCCTCATCAGAGGAGTGTGCTTACAGCTCTAAAGTAGGCCCTCGCGCGGGCGTCGTCTCGAGTGGCCGCGTACCACCTGCCCAAGGCCTTGCCAATCTTGCCCATGTCGTGCACCAGTCTAATCAGCAGCTGTGCCGTTTCCGCTCGTTCATTCGGGTTCATCGGGATGTCGGGCATGTTCTCCGTCATCATGGCCTTCTGTTCCTCCTGGCCAATTCGTCGCAGCTTCTCAAAGTCGTTTTCCATACCCGCGGCTCCAGCGGCTGCCATGGCCTGCTGACGCGCTTTCATCTGCTCATACTTGGCCCGCTGCTCGGGACTCAAGTTTGCAATCTGCTCAGGAGTGAGGGTCGGTATTTGTCGGGGCATTGCTGGTCGCTGGGGCTGAGCGGCGGTTTGGGGAACATCGGGGGCGTCATCAGTGCTGGGACGCTTCAGGTTCTTCTGCGCCGTTGCCGGTGAGGGGTTCGGGGGCTGCTGCTGGTTCGTCGGCGCTGGGCGGTTGTTGTTTGGTGGCCGAGCGGCGTTGGCGACCGTCTTCGGGTCCGGCGTCGCGCTCGGCTGCTTCGGCGGAGCATGCTGCGTCGGCTGGGTAGGTGTGGGCGTGGGGTTCGGCTGAGGAACGCCGGCTTGTGCCATTGCGGGTTGCGGAGGCTGAGGAGCGGAAACTGGCGCGCCCGGCTGCCCTTGGCCACCCTGCTGCATCCTCATGGCCATTTCCTTTTGCATAGCGGCAGCCATCTGGCGTTGCTTGATCTGGACGATGAACGCCCGGAGTTGGTCATCCGTCAGGCTCGCCACCTTAGGGTTCGCCTTGCGGGCATTCATGATGTCGTGGGGTGTGACCTGGACCTGGGGCATTTGGGCGAGCATACTGGCGGGTATGCTCATCTGGCCAGGAGCTTGCTGATTGAGGCCAGGGTTGCCAGGCTGCATGCCGTTCATCTGCTGCTGCTGGAGCTGCTGCTGTTGAGGCTGCTGCTGCTGTTGGAGCTGCTGAGGGTTCTGTTGCAGTTGGGGTTGAGGTTGCTGTTGCTGTTGTGGCTGCTGGGGTTGCTGTTGCTGCTGTTGCGCCTGTGCTTGGGCTTGCGCGGCCTGGTTCCTCCTTTCCATCTGTCTCTGCATAAACTGCGCGAACTGCTGCCTTTGGACCCTCTCAAGTTGTGTCTGGACTTGAGGCGCAATGGGATTTTGTGTGAGCCAGGCCCTGAGATCCTTCCATTTGCGAACCTCGGGAGGGGCGCGGAGCTGGGTACCGATCTGAGCGAGCACTGGAGGAGGGAGGTCCAAACCATCCATCATCACCTGGTGCGCTGGCGCCAGAGGCGTTCCCTGGTTCCTAAGCCGGGCCAACATTTGCTGCTGCTGAGCGATGAGCTGCGGGTTGGGTGCACCCTGTGCCGGCTGTTGTTGCATCATGCCGTACTGTCCATTCGGCATGTTGAAGCCGCCGGGTTGGCCGGCCCTCTGCATGGCAGGGTTCATGGCGTTCATCTGGCGGCTCCGCTGTTGTTGTTCCTGCCACTTGCCCATGACCTCATGGAGCTTGTCCTGTGGAAGTTGCTGGATGGCTGATCTTTGCTCCGCATTCATGTTGGACATCATGCTGTTGTAGATTGGGTTGTTAGCCAAAGCACCAACGCCCATGGGACGTTGGTTACCCTGGTTGAACCGCGGGTCACCCAGAGTGTTGGCGAATGGACCGTTTCCACCTTGGCCGTCCATGGGGTTCATGGCGCTGGGAGGTCGACGCATGGGAGTGTTCAACGTGTTCATGCCGGGGCTCTGCGATGGAGGCGCGCCGCCGAGACCGTTCGGCTGTCCTTGTAGTTGTCTGGCCTGCTGTTGCGCCCGCATTTGAGCGGCATGTTGAGATTGTTGCTGTTCCATCTTCAACTGCTGTGCCTGTTG